CTAAGTGCAGCAACTATGCCCCCAATAATAACAGAATAGTATTTCACAGAAATAGCATAGAGTTAGCTATATAAAGATTCATAAAGGTTAATTGCTACACAAATAAGGGTAAAAAGTGGGGAACCAGAAAATTAAGAAAATTTGAAAAATCAATCAATGGAAGATGAGAAAAAAAGAAAAAAGTGAGATAAAGGATCCTATTGAGGAATAGAAGGAAAATAATAGTATTAGATAAAAGTAACAGAAAAGAACAGAGAAGAAAAGAGAAAAAACAGAGAGCAAAAAGTAAGAATGAAAAAAATTAAAAAGAGAAAGAAAAAAATACCCCTCAAAAAGAAAAAAAAAGAAAGAAAAAATGATTTTAAAAATATCTAAACTTTCTGTCTTTTTGAATGAGTGACTTCATTCCAAACCTGCAGTCTTAAAATCCAGGAGTCTTGGTTTTCTCCATATAGCTGTAAAGTGTGGGGGTTTGTGACATGGCCACCTCCCCAAGAGGCCCTTCTATCCATACACCCCTTGAGTGTGGGAACCACTCAAGACAAAGCATAACCTTGCTCACATGGGTAGATATAGAAAACAGATCATGGTCTCTGCAGGATATGGGCGGCTACCAAGGGGTTTAGGCAGAGTGCTGAACTTAATGCCAGCACTTTCACATCCAGCTACCTCTGAAAGCCACACTTGCTCGGCCTGCTTTCTCACCAGAGGCTGGGGCCCTTGTCCTTCTTGGCCTGAGCTTAAACTTCTGAGGGGATGTATGCCTAGGCTGTCCCCTCTCTGTGGCTGTCTTCTGTAGTTATCTCTTACCCAGTCACTGTAGAAGGGTGACTCTAGAAACCCTGAAATGGAGTTGCTTTGTATTTGTTCAATGGATCACTTTAAAGCACTTTAACCCCTTCCCAAAATGGCACCCCATTAAGCTTTTTGGAAATATGGTGGGTGTTAAATTGGGTTTCTTTTTCTAACCTAACCTGCATGCAAGTCATTTTAGGGGTTAAAAAAATTCATTCTGTCTTTGTAGTTTATAATAGTTGTGGGCTTTTCTTAGGGTTTAGCACTATTGTCCCAATTCATTTCTTCTTAGAGCTGCCAACTCTCTGAAGCTTATCTGCCCTCCCAGAGCAATGGTCTTGTTCACTATGAGGTTGGTGGTTGTTTGGTACCTCTGTTGCCCCATGGGGAAGCACCTCTTGGTGTCTCTATGGCCAAGGAAAAACAAAGACAGACAGGGTTTGGAGTTGGCAGGAGGCTTCAGCCAAGTTGTGAAATCCACAATGTGGAGTTGGCCAGGATTACATGCAGCACAGGTGGCAGGTTCCATCTGCAATTGTAACTTTAAAAATTCTTATTTTTTAAATCTTCTCTTCCTTCTCATCACAAAGTATGCTTTTAACAGAAACATGCATACATTTAAACAAATATATTAGCTATTTTGCAAATGGTCAGGGGGAAAACTTCTGCTACTTGACAATCTGCCTGAATTGTTAGGTCTCCTCCAGGAGTTTTCCTTAGCTACCAAGCTGAGGAGTGTGGAAGGAGATTAGGGAGCAGCTTTGAAGTGCCCACCGTTTCTTGCCACAGCTGGGTAAATGCAGAGCACCAGACATTGGAAGAGTTCCTGAGGCTGAGGTGCACTAGTGCACTACTCAGGCTCTGCTCTCTGTTTCAGAGACATGGTCAGGAAGACATGATCAGATGGTTGCAGCATGCTAGGGAGCGACTCAGGTTTTTGGAGCAGTTTCTCTTCTGTTCACACCCAACTTACTAGGTGTCTGTTAATGAACATTCTTCAAAGTGCAATTTAGACCAGAAAGTCTGATAGCAGCAACTTTTAGATTATGAGATTGCTGTTTTCTGCAAATAGTCAGAGAAGCAACTAATGTGTATATTGTTCAGTGTGGTATTGTAATAGCAATGAAGATTTGTGTCAGCTTTGTGAGTAGTGGAATTGGCAATGTTATTAGGCAGCCAATTCTGAACTTGACCCCACGAAGTATTAGCTCTTGTGGAGCTAACCTTAAAATATGTATATTCTTTCTTTATTTCCTCATCCTATATTAATGGGTTAACTGCATTAAGCACATTTTCACTAGATATTTAAGAAAGAAATGGGATCCATTTGTTAGGGTTCATGGACAAAAGGGAAAATAGAGCATTTCCCAGAACAAAGCCTTTGCTCACTTTTGTCACCTCAGGGCCAGGGCAAAAGCTGTGGGGAATGATGCAGGCTCTTGAGATAGAGGTTCGTGTCCACCCCCATGAGTTCATCTTGCCTGTGCTTCTGGAGCTACAAGATGAGAGCTCAGTGTAGGGATGCTCTCTCACAGGATGAGCATATTGTCACATGGAATGGCCCCAATCCTGTCCAAGACCCAGGAGACCTTTATGGAATCTCTCCCAGGAGCTGTCCTTCGGAGCAAGCTGGATTATATTATTTCATCAGATGTTAACAGCATCTCTGTCAGGAATTTCTCTAAGACCTATGCCCATGTAAAGGGAGGTAACTATTCTACTCTTTTATCTCACTGAGAAAAATGAGCTTAATAAACCAAGATATGTTTCTTGTCAGGTCTTGTTGATCACTAACAGAACTGTCTTTTCATTCAGCGTAGCCACTTAAATAACAGAGCAAAATAAAAGATTGATAAAAGGAAACAGGGAGATAGATCTTTTGCAAATAAGAAAGGGATCAAGAGACTGAGGGTAGAAGGAAGAGAAAAGGGAGGAGGGAAGGCGATGTAAAAGATTTAAGATGTGTTATGTATCTGTACCAAATACCCCAAATGAATGTTATTATCATTATGTGTCTCAAAATGAGGGGAAAAAAAGAAAGTGGGGGGAAGGGATCTAGAGATGGAATAGAGGCAGGGAGAAGAATGGGGAGGGGAAGGGAATAAAAAGAATTAAGAGATATTACCTACATGTACCTACTCTCTGAAATGAATGTGAATATCACATACTGAAAACATGTATTAATAAAACAAAAACAAACACAAAAAGCCCTAAATGATAATGTGGCTTTGATTTCTCTTTCTTCCTTTCTTTCCCTTTTCTCCCTTCCATATTCCTCTCTCTCTCTCTCTCTCTCTCTCTCTCTCTCTCTCTCTCTCTCTCTCCCCTCCTCTCTTCTATCTTTCCTTCAAAGCTAATATTTATTAGAAAATTTCTATGTAAAGGAAAAAAATTCTGTTCTGATTTTTAAATTTCATCTCTGGAAGTTACATGTCCACAAACAAAGCATAAATATTCACTGCCCTTGGACAAGTCTGTTTCCTGATTTTCATCTGTGAACTAAAAATTATCCTCTCTGCTTCATGAGCTTGTTGAAAGAATTAATTACAAAAGCATCTGGTGTACCAGGGCCTTTGTTGGGGTTGGTTTCTTCCTTCTCTGCTGGCAGAGAATTTAAAGTAACTTTGTCTCACTGGACTATCCCACTAAGAGGAAAAGTAAGTATTAATATTCATGTTTCATAGACAGATAAATGAGCTGCCAGAAATGATACAGCTTATCCTGGTCCCTGGAGTGCTGAGGAACATCACAGAAAACAAATGGTGATCTGGCTGCTGGGCCCATAGTCCTCTAACACTTATGAAATGTTAGTTTGATTTTATTAAATGTGATTTCCTAGAAACGTCTTAAAGATTCCCATAATATTTCAGCAATTGTGCACTCATTAAATGTTAGTAAAGCTTTTTTCTGAATATTAAAATTTGAGAACTTTAGCTGTATTAAGACCCACAGAAGTGCAGATATATTTGAACAATTTTTATCCCCAAATGCCCTTAGTCAGCTGAATGGATGAAGGTCATTTACTTTCTAATACATAATCCTCTACTCATCCTGCATTTGTTGATCCGTGGTGAGCCCATACTGCTCACTTGGATTTATTATCATATTTTTACTATGCCTTAATCGCTGTCATTAGAGCTCTCCTCCAAGTGTCCTGTGCTCTAGGAAAAACCTTGATCTCTCTTCTTAATGTAGTTTGAAGAAATATAAACTTATAAATTGGAGAGAGACAGAGAGACAGAGAGACAGAGAGACAGAGAGAGACAGAGAGAGAGACAGAAAGAGAGAGAGAGAGAGAGAGAGAGAGAGAGAGAGAGAGAGAGAGAGAGAGAGAAAGAGAGAGAGAGAGAGAGAGAGAGAGAGAGAGAGAGAGAGAGAGAGAGAGAGAACCAAACTATATCGGGAGAGGTGCATGTTGTAAAAACTGTAGAGGAGCTATTCTGTGCCCTACTACTAACTGGTGAAAAACTCAACTTCCATTATGTTGCAAAATCAAAGCCTTAAGTTATGTTAAAAGGCAGAGTAAAATCATCATTGAAAAGTAACAGATACTGAAAATAAAAATTTTGCTGAGGTCTAACAATCATTCAAAAGAATAATGTTCTCATTTGTTATGCCCGGAAGTATAAGGGAAGAAATGTATTTTGTAATTGAATAAGTTTTTTTCAAAAATTCTTTTTGGGGAGAAGGAAAAAAGCCTCCCCTCCAGTATGCGATACAACCCTGAGTTGTGTCACTGTTTCTCTAGGAACTGCTTCTCCAAATACTTTGTTATAGCATTAAAATGATTGTCCATGTTGAAGTACATTCACTGAGCACTGCTTTGAATTATTTTCCCAGACTCACCTTATTTTTTATTATTTATTTATTTATTTGCAGTGCTGAGGATTGAATTTAGGACCTTGTGCTTACCAGACAAGAGCTTATTCTCCTGAGCTATCTCGCCAGCCCAGCTATCTCCCTGGTCCTTCCCAGCCTCACTTCAAACCTCAGTACTGTATACAAAGCTTAACAGTGAGAATGTAAGGGATCCATATGTTGAATGTAAATATATATACATATATATGCATATATATATGCATATATATACATATATATGCATATATATATATATATATATATATGCTGAATTCAAATAAATCCTAGGTTGTTTAAAAGGCAAGTGGGAAACACTGTACAATCACTTTGTTCTGTTATTAATCCAGGATCTCCCAGTGAATATCAAGTTCATTCTGGAAGGAATGGAAGAAACTGGCTCTGTTGCCTTGGAGGAACTTGTTAGTAAAGAAAGGGATCGGTTCTTCTCCAGTGTGGACTACATTGTGATCTCAGATAATCTATGGCTTAGCAGGAGGAAGCCCGCACTCACTTATGGTACCCGAGGGAACAGCTATTTCACAGTGGAGGTACTGATGGGCCCTTGTGGAGGGAGGCTGTGGATGGCAGGGCGAAATCCATTGTGGGGTCTTAGGAAGGAAAGCCAGAAATTCTTACCTGGGATACAGCCTGCAAGAATGCAGAAGATGAGGTTTGGGGGTGCTATTCATCAGTGCTAGTGGTGTTCTTGTGTGCAATTTTTTTGGAGAGAGAATTCCTAGGGGCATGTGACTCACTGACCAAAATATTTAGGAATTATTACTTTGGAATTTAGAGGCAGGAATAGCAGCTTAGGGGAATGACTTCCTGGTGAGAGGCTGAGGATGCTAGAACATTGCCATGATATCTGCCTGCTGGGTCTTGGTGACAGGAGATTTAAGGGCCATTTATTGGTCAATGTGATATAATTGTGAGACTCAGACATTATGAACCACATAGAAATATCATGCATTCTTAGCATTTAAAAAATAATGTTAACCCTTCGACGGACATGAGAATGCTAATTATCAGGGAGATAGGACTGTATAAAGCAATCTCAGGAAGGTTACTGTTATAAGATACAGATACAGAGATAATATGTGGGTGAAAGGGAAAAGAAACAGAGACCTCAGTAGAAACGTCATCTAAGGAACTTGGTTTTGAGGAGAGATGGCTAGTGTGAATTCTTGGCCATATATCAGCTGGAAATCTTTTTATAAGTATCAAAAAAATGAAGTTAATAAAGAAAAAAAGATTGAAATCTTATGTGGACCAGGATTCAAAAATTAAATAAAAATTGATTATAGGAAAGAAACAGACAGCAGATATGGCTACTTCTCAGATCAAGCAGCACTGGAGAAAAGCACATCTCCTATTTATGGAGTCCTAGTTCCCTGTACATCATTTTCCCTTGTCTTGGAAACTGCACTGACTTTCTTCTTTGATCAAACATTTACTTTCTTTGCTTCTCTTACCATCTAAAAGTGAAATTGCCTGCCTGTTTCCCATCAGTCAGTCACTTCAAACTCCTGCTAGCTCCCTGCTTCAGCTGGAGGGAGCACAGAGCCCAAGAGAGCCTTGAGAAGGTTGAGGGAAAGGGGAGCACCTGGAGACCTAGGAGAAATTGGGATGTTTATGAGAACAGAGGCACTGAGTAGGTGGGAAAGGATGAGATCCTACCTAGAAGAAGGAATTAACCTCTTTTGCAAGGGTATCAGATAGACAGAGAGAAAAGAGCTGTGCAGATGTTCTTCAGTTGTCATTGGCTTATCTTTTTTCTGCTGGTTAGGATGCAAATTTATGTGCAGAGAAGTGATGCCTCAAGTGGTTTCTATGGGGAAAGAATAAGAAGGCTAACTAGAGCATGAAATCTCAAGCACTATAAGGGTACAGTGTCACCTGTCTTTGAAAATAGACACTTTTCTGTGGTTGTGTTTAATACCCCAGTCCAGAGAAGGCCTAGAAGGGAGAGTTGGCCTAGGTTGGGATAATCCAGATGATGTGATGGGCAAAGGGGGGAAAAGCAAATCAAGATGAGAGCCACAGAGAGGTCAAGGTAATGTGCAGTGCCATTTAGGTTCCATGGGGAAAAGTATAGACAGGAAGACAAGAACCCTTGGGAGAGCCAAGGAACTGGACATCTTGTGAGAACCAGAAGGTGGGCAGTAAATCCAAGTAGAAGAAAGAAAGGGGAGAGAAAAAATGATCAGAAGGAAGGATCAGGAAGCATAAGATTTTGGAGATTAGACTATAACATAAAAGTACTTTAATTAGCATTATTACCAAATGAAATAAAGATCTCAAGCCAAAGAAACTGCATGGAACATTCATCTGGAAGCATATTAAAAAAATATTGGGACAAGAAAAATACAGCTGGGCAGGGATGATAGAAGGGAAAGAACAGAAGAGATAATTTAAAAAAAACTCTGTAGCAATTGGTAATGTGGTACACACAGGAGCAATCATTATGGTAGGAAGAAATTGTAGATCTTTAATTCAGTTCTAGATCTATTGAATCCATAAACTATAAGTAACCAAAACTTTTAGGTATAGATTCAGATGAAAGGTCAGACCAACAGGGATAAGGATATAAGGGTATGAAGTTATTAAATGGTATTACATAAGAACCAGCCAAAGATGAATCTGTGGAAGAAGAATAGATGAAGTTATTAGAGGAAACATCAAGAGAATTGTACTATAGCAAGGAAAGATAAACAGAAGAAAGTTCTGAGCTGCAAAGGGAGGATAATTTTTCTAGAGTGATGATCTACAGTGTGATATGAAGCCAAGAGAAAGATAACTGTATGAGCATTGATAATTTGCCCAAGAATGTCCTGGTGATCTTGAATAGAATCCTGTAAGTGGAAGAGTTTGAGAAGGAAGTCAGTTTTAGGGGATTCAGGGAATAAAGAAAAGTATAGTCTTTAGTTCCTGAGACTGAGAAACAAGGGAAGTAAGGTCGTATAAGGAATTTACCTGCCTATATCTTAAGAGACACCACTGAGACATGGTTCCTACCATGCAAAAGCTTCAATGAAAAAGTCAAATCTCCTTCTTTCCCTGTTTTCACAGGTGAAATGCAGAGATCAAGATTTTCATTCAGGAACATTTGGCGGTATCCTTAACGAACCAATGACTGACTTGGTTGCTCTTCTCGGTAAATCCTTACTTTATTTCCCTTTTAAAGCATCAAGGAATTTCCTTTGGTTTCGGAATTGGCTCTGAATAAAGGCATATGGTAGGAAGAAATTGTAGATCTTTAATTCAGTTCTAGATCTATTGAATTCATAAACTATAAGTAACCAAAACTTTTAGGTATAGATTCAGATGAAAGGTCAGACCAACAGGGATAAGGATATAAGGGTATGAAGTTATTAAATGGTATTACATAAGAACCAGCCAAAGATGGTTCTTGAATCCAAAGGATTCAAGAGACTGAGGTCATCCTTGAATCTCTCTCTGAGGTTTCTAGAAGATGAAGTGGTATTTCCAAACCACTTCTGTATAGCTGGCATGTCGTTTTGACTGCACATAAATCAACAAAGTGAAGAACAAAAGGGAAAAGTCTTAAATGCTGTTGGGAGAGAGGCACTCAAGACTCTTGCAGCAGCCTCTGGTGTCATGGCATAGACAAAGCCCTCATCAGCCTAACTCTCAGTGCACAAGGGCTGTTCATTTTAGCACATGGCACTAGCAATTAGGCTGTATCCTCATTCTTTCACAACCAGCTGCATGACATTGAGCACGTTTCTTGTCTAGTTCTTAGTTTCTCATTTGCAAACAGGCATAGTCATACACTTACCTATTTAAGTGCTATGAGGGTTCCAGAAGATGATGCACGTGGAGCACTTACTACTGTGACTTGAACACAGTGTGTTTGTTAATGACTAATGGTCTACCAGCCTAAGAAAGCAATTCTTTCTTATCCACAACTCCAGCAATGGCTTCATTTTTAAGGTTGTTGTGGCTTTGACACAGAGATGCCATGTGTTTGCCAATTGAACCCAACATCAAGCCCCTGTTCTTGGCTGCCTCTGGGATGACTGATATGTGTAAGTAGGCTTTTTTCCTGACAGTAAATATGCCCAGGTTTGTTCTACTTGGTATCTGTTTTTTGCAAGGCCAAGGTGCTAAGGAAGCTTAAACATCATGAGCCTCACTTTCAGGAGCTCCTTCCATAGTGCTGGCAGGGACATTCACAATTTTATATCCATCTTTGGTGTTCTTTTAAAAGTGGGTTTTAAAAATTAAGTAAGCTTCAGGCTCCAAATATCTCAATATCTTTCATCTAGAATTTACGGTTAATTATGCAAATTTTATCTTATGCTCCGTTTGGGCAGATGAATTGGGCTTCAAAATTTGCATCATGTTCTGAGGATGATGTATAAAGTATGCATCTGTCCCTTTGGCCTTGGGAGTCCCAGACAGAGTGTGATCAGGCTGTGTGGCCAAAGTGTTGGGATGGGGAAGTCTCCTTAAGGACTTCAGCATCATTTTTAATTGTGGAGTTTCCTCCTTCACTGCCTCAAAGTGAATGGTGAAATAAAACTATATTTCTGTCTGCCTATTATTATTCTGTTTTAGTTTTCCTAAAATATAACTTTTAGATAGTAAATCCCATACTTGACAATTTCAGAGAGAATAAAACATGGCATTTGCCTGGAAAGAGTTTAAATAGTTCACAGAACAATTCAGATGTATGCAACCCAATTTTCGGCAAGTGGCACAGTTGATTTTTCTATCTTACTAGAATGAATTTCCTCTTTCCCAGGAACAGCATCATCAAGTCTTCAGTAATACATTTCATGTCTCTCTCCTAGCATCATAGCTGAATGACATTTGTTTAGATTGTGCAGCTTTTGTCCACCATAGAATATTTCATTTAGTCTCACAGATGCATACCATTTTGCTAACCAAACATCAGAGCAGAGCAGATCATAAATGGAATGAAAAACATATATCAAACAGACCATGATAAGGTAATTTCTGGATTGTGCCCTCTGTGGTCTTTCATGTTTTGTACAAAGTCAAAGAGGGACATAGGGTAGAGTGTTGGGGCTGATCAAACAAGCAGGAAGGTAGTATGGATTCATTAGAAGGCCAAGAATCCAGGTCTCCTAGCCTCTGTCCATCAGGGTCCCCATCTGCATGATCCTGATGACCGTCATGATTACTGATAACAACAAATGGTCGTTGAACATAAACTATCTAAAGCACAGAATGAACTTCTGGGAGCACAAAGCAAAATCACATAAGTCTCCTGTCTCCAAGGTTTAGCATTTAATAGGAAAGGTAGGGAATGGGGTAGAGATAGTAATATTCATGTTTGCAAATAGAAATCTTACCTGTTTCTTCTTTGTAGACTTTTGACTCTGCATTTCCTGAAATCCACTATGCAGAAAAGATGATTGACCCAAGGGCATTTTTTATAAGCAAGTACTATCTGGTGTCATTTAAAATATTAAAATGTCAGGGCTCACCTGGGGATCAGAATTATGCTTCCCATGAACATCTTCAAGGCAGCATTCTCGGCCTCCCATGCATTTCTCAGGGTGGTGGAGGGGGCTTCAAAATTTGCATCATGTTCTGAGGAGCATGCTTTCAAGTGGAAAGAGAGCAGGTTGGGAGGGTGAACTCTTAAAATGATGATAAATGAAGTCTGGGATGCTTTCTGGCCACACACAGTGAGTGCTGGGAAAGCTACTTCTGCTCAAAGCCTGGACATCTGGGTCACCACCATCCTCACCACTGGCGACATCTGGCAACATTAATTACTATGAAAGAATACCATTCAAGCTCAAAAAAATGAACATAAGCATCCTGGCCCTGGAAGCACTTTTATTTTGGTGCTTGTAATACTCAAATCAATTTGTGAAAAATACCCTAAAGCCTTGCCAAGTTGTACCAAAATTCTGACCACAAAGATGGTGCCATTGTGCCCACTTATCCTTCTCGGCTCCAGTGGCTAGCTGTGTGGTCTCCATGGCTTCCAGTGGCTCCTCTGTGCTCCTGTGCTTGACATTTCTCTCTATCACTGGTGATTCTGATCCAGGGCTCTTCTTCTTGACCCACACAGTCCTTGATGCTGCACATTCTGGCTGCATTGTGAGCAGGACATGTGGGTCTTATACATTTTTGTAGCTCTGTCCTTACATTGGAGACTGTTGGCAGGAGTTCAGGGATAGACATTAAAGGAAAGATTTGGTGATTACATTGTTAGTAGAGCTTTTTGTGATTCTAGTGAAAATAAGATAGGGTAGACAGCAAATTGATGATAGTCCTAGGCCTATACCAATTTATGTTTGAATCTGACTAAGGGATTTAAATTATTTTATACAATTCAGTTCACTGGATTAATGGAGGATGGGTGTGAATTCTGTACCTCAGACTCTGAGTATAAAGGTCTACACTATTGTCCCTATAATGTGTACTCACAGAAGAAACAGAAAGTTTGGAGGAACCACTGTGAGACCAGGGGAGGGGATGAAGGAATAGTTGGCTCCAAACAAAAACAATACCTTCTTCCCTTCACACTCTGTTGCTTTGACACAATTCAAGCCTTTAACTTAGATCTCTTGGGATCATTCTCAAAGTTCTGGGAAGCCTATTCTATATCACGTTATCACTTTTCTGTGTATTGATACGCTTACTTGGTATCAGACTTGTGGTATCCTCACTGGTGGAAAGAGCTCTCATCTTGTGTATCTTCACATCCCAGCATTAAGCCAGCAGCTAGGAAAGAGGAGGGGTACAATAACTTGCCATTATTAATTAGTGCCTAGAATCTTCAAGTCTTGCTTTGTAGTTGTTGACATTAATTTAAAGATCACAGTAATGTTCACAGTAATGTTCCTCCTCTGACACTGTCAAATTATAATCATATAAACAATATGGAACATTATTATGAAGGGATTTTTACTTGAATAAAGGTACCCAGATGGATTGAGGATTCATTTATCTGATTCAGTTTTGTGTCATTTTTATCAACTCACTTTGGTTCCACTAATCTTTGATAAGTATGTTTGCTAAACCTCAGCATCAGTTTCTTTTATAGATATTTGTTGGTGCTTTTCTCCACTCTGATTGAACCCAATACTCTGTCATAAAGAGAAGACTAGTATACATACTCATTGTCTATAAAGATTTTGGGATCATGATAGATTAGACTTTAAGCACATCATGCCTCTGATTAAAAATGAGAATTATATTACTAAGGGGAGAATATAAAGGAGACATTTGAAAAGAGATGAAGGAAATTTTGTTTCTCATGTGTACATACCTATACATTTCACTTTCTAATTTAGGATAAAATGAAAAAAATGAACTTCGTTTATGACACAAATGGTATGGTTGAGAACTTGAACACTGCGCAGGTGATCTCACCTGATAAAGCTTATTGTAGATCCATTGTGCTTTAGCCCTGTATTTGACCAGGTGACTGTTGCTGGGTGTCTGACTCTGGATGAGTGCAGCTGTTCAACATTTCTTTCACATGATCTCTCTCTCTCTCTCTCTCTCTCTCTCTCTCTCTCTCTCTCTCTCTCATATTTTAGGGAAGGGTCTGCAGGGTGTTCAGGGTCTTACTACTAGATTGGGCTCATAGTGATCCACCTGTTTACAGCCTCCCAAGACCTGGGATTACAGGCACGCCACCATGCCCAGTCTCAATTGCTGTCTCAGCACACCGAGGGCCAGACCAGCAGGTCCAGGGATCATGGTACTCATCTCTGGGGTAGAGTTGTGGCCAATGGCTCTGGCCAGGAAAACCACTAATAGTCATGGAGCCCCTTGTACCCAGAAGAGCCATCACCTGGTTCTGTTCAAGGCCACAGCATCTGCATGCATGCAACTTCTACCTTGCTTTGTTTTCTATGTGCATTTTTAGGTAGCCTAGTGGATTCATCAGGTCACATCCTGATACCTAGCATCTATGACCAAGTGGCTCCTATTACAGAGGACAAAAAAAAATATATGAAACCATTGATCTGGACTTCGAGCAGTATCGGAATAACAGTCAGGTTGAGAAATTTCTGTTTGCTACAAAGGTATGGCAATTAACTCATGGCTAATCTGAAAGGGATGGTGATTATGAATGACATTTCCCCAATGGGTAAATAGCTCCAGGTGTTGCTAATCCACCTATTTAATGACCCAGAGCGAATATTGGTTCCTAGACAGATTTTAATTTTCACAGCCACTTTCCTATAGTCTAGATCAACCTGTTTCTAGGGTCTAGTTGGCATTGGCTTCAGGCACCTAACCATGAGCAACAAATAATTTCACAGCCATGCTTTTCCAAGACAGTTTATTAATTTGCCTCCTACATCAGCCTGCAGCCAAAAAGCAAAACTTAACTATTTGAAGATTTGGAAAAGGTTGAGACAGGTTCAGCTCTAAGAGAACTAATTGTTCATTTTTCCAGGGTGAACCAAGAGCCTCAGGGCAAATCTGTAAGTTAATAGATGGCTTCCGCTGTATTCTAAGGAAACCCAGAGCCTAAGCATTTATTAGTGGAAATTTTAGACTTTTTTCTTTTCTCTTTTGTCTCCTTTTAAAAATATTTATTTGCTAAGGTACTTGCTGATTCTTGAGGGAACGATGAAAAGAATCCAAAACCATGATGAAAAGAAGAGGTAGAATTTATTATTATAAGGCACATTTCTTTTCTCAGAGTAAGTTTATGATGGCTACAAGAAGAAAGGATATAGATAAAATGTGGAGAGTTCTTTGAGATCTGCTGAACAAGAAAATGTGGCACACATTTTCACAAGTCATCTCTGCAATGATCATGGATAGAACTTTATAACTGAACTCAGATTTTTTAATCTGTTAATGGCAAATATTAATACCTGGGCAAAAAAGGGAGAATGGCATGGGTTTGGGTAGGAAAAGACCACAGAAGAGAAGCCATGTTTTCTTAGGAAATGGTTCATTTCATAGTGATAGCTCAGTCACATCTAAGTTAGGTGCTCATTTACTTGTCATGAGTGGATCTCAGATGCACAGATTTTGGTGATACAAACAATATAATTTAACTGAGTTTTAACCAGATATTCTTTGGATGATTTTGTTTTTATTTAGGAGGAAATTCTAATGCACCTATGGAGGTACCCATCTCTTTCTATTCATGGGATTGAAGGTGCATTTGATAAACCTGGAATTAAAACAGTTATACCTGGACGGGTTACCGGGAAATTTTCAATCCGTCTAGTCCCACATATGAATGTATCTGTGGTGGAAAAACAGGTAACCATAATTTAGTGTCATTGAGCCTAGCGGCACCTTTTCCAATTCCCTTGCACTGTGGTGTGGTGAGGAATTCAGCTGTTATGATTGAACTTAACATTTTATTTTCAACACAAAAGAACTCAAACAAATGTCAAGAAACCATTGTCAGTCTTGCTCAGTGAAAACTTTCCTCAGCTATATGCCATTACCACAGTTAGATAAATAACTATTTGTAGTTGTAGTGATAGGCACTTTTTAAAAAAATTAGATGGTAGCAATAAAAGCAAGATTGATCTTATACAGAGGTGGAGTACATAATTGCCTATCTTGGAGGGAGCTAGAAAATCTCAGCCACCCTCATCAGTTTTTTCATGATGTCTGAAATCAACACTTTGAAAAAGACCATTTAAACAACTATTTATAGTTATGTATCCAATTATCAACTCATCGTCAATTTTCCTCAAGCAAGTGTACCAGAAAGTAGTCCCTTGGACAAATGAGTTAAGGAAATCTCAACTCTCAGCTATTCTTATTAGATTATCCTCTTTTCTGATCTTGTAAAGACTAATTAGATTCTAAAAAAGTATCTTTCCCCCTTTCCTTCCTTTACTCCTTTTTTTTTTTTGTATGCATTGCCCCTTTCTCTTACAACATATGCATTCTATGAGGGTAGTACTTTTTTCCCCATTCTTCACAGCTATCTCCCTTGCTGTGAAGAATGGGGAAAAGTCCCCCTGACACCTGACAGGTGTTAATAAATATTTGTTAAAGGAAAAGATGGTTCAGGGTAAATCCTGAGGGGATTTGACTGACCTTGTCAGATACAAAAGTTACATTTCTTGTTATATAGTTACACTTCTTGCTTTATCTTGGTCTTGACCATGCAGCAGAAAAGTATAAAAATGAGGTATAAAAAGTAAATCCATATTAATATGCTGAGCTGTAAAAAGCTCAAGTCAACAACTTCTGAAATTGCAAGTCCTATGGATAACCCATTACTATTAAGGACTACTGGAGTATATTGGAATATTTTGCTGAATTCATGCACCTACAATATTTAAATGGCAATGGAATAACCACCTCTGACAAAACTAAAAAAAGGGAATACAAATGAATGACCATTTTGTATCTGTATGTACAAAATAGTTAGGATAGATATACAGCTACTTTCTCTTAATTCAATGAGAAGAAAGATTTGTACTAATAGTGTTTGGACAGGATATCATGTCTGTATCTTGTACTATGAATAACCACTAAGAAGACAACAATATGCAATGTATTAGTTATTGAAACTGTCCTATCAATTGGTTTTGAAACTGTCTCATTGTTATTTGTTTCTCAATAAAATTAATAAAAATATAAAGGAAAAGATGGAAGAAATATTTCATAGGGGATTGCCTAGGAGGATTTCTACAGAAGTTATTGGGAAGGCATTGGAGAAGAAAGATGTGAAAGTGATCTCCTTCACAGATGGGATTGAGATGCCTTCCATTTTTTCCCTGAAATTTCTCAAATGCTTAATGCTCCCTAAATATTCATTAGGGTATTAATAAATCTCAAAACATAACATTCTAATTGAGATAGTATATTATATCTCATAATTCTCAGTAAACATTACTATAACACACTATTTAGCAAACAGTGTTATGAGAATGGAGTAGGGCCAGGATTGGTGATTGTGAGTACAGAGGTAGAAGGGGAATGAGAACAAGTGTTCCTCACTGGGTGAAGGCCAGGGCCTCTGTTCTCAGTGCTAAAGAATCCACTCACTATGTCAGGCCCTCTGGCAGAATGAAGGAAAAGTCAGAGTGTTCCAACATTTCAAGTAAGTACTTCAATTAATTTCTTGATGAAACACTGCTAGAGAGAACAAAATTTCAACCTCTTATTATGCAAAATGTTGCCTCATAGGTAAAACAGCATCTTGAAGATGTATTCTCCAAAAGGAATAGCTCCAATCAGATGACTATTTCTATGGTAGTAGGAGTTCAGCCATGGATGGCAAATATTAATGATACTCAGTATCTTGCAGCAAAAAGAGCCATCAGAACAGGTGGGACCTTAAGATATTTTGATCATCCAGTTTACAATGGGACCAGTGGGGAGATCAACAAACACCTCTTCTTCCTCTTCTTTCATGGTACTGAGGGCACACTGAGCCCTCCCCACTTTTTAATTTTGAGACAGGGTCTTGCAAAAGTAGATTTGGCTTAAATTTATAATCCTCCTGCTTCAGCATCCTAGAGTACTGGGATTATAGGTATGTGAAAATGTACCTAGCTCAGCAGACACTTTTAATACTCAAATATCAACTTTCCTCTTTATCTAGTGCATATTCTTTAATGCACACCATGTAATGGGAACTTTGTATTCCCTGTATTATATAATCCTCCCAACAATCTCCTCTATTTTTTAGAGGATAAAATTAAGAATTAAAGAGATGAAGTTACTTGATAATGACTCTGCTGCTGAATGGCAAAGCCAGGGCACAAATTGCAGTCTAGAGACCTGAATTTGGGAGAAAATGACAAACCAAAGATCAGCAAATCCTCCTGATGTAAAACTCATGGAAATGTTGGCTAGCATAGCAAAACATCATTTAAAAAGCATAGCTTAACTCTTATGATAGTAAGGGAAATCCTTCAGTGCTAGAAATAGAGCTGGTAGTAGGGTTGGACTAATTCTTCCCAAACCCATAGATGATGCACACATCATACTGCCCTGGAGACACACAGCCCAGGTCACCTTGTGATTTTTCCACAGAAAGGCTTCCTAAGGATGACCTCACATATAGAATTACAAAACACATGAGAAACCCATTGCCAGCTATTCAACTCTAAAACTAATGATCTTTTCATAAAGTCACAGTGGTTCTCCAGAGGGTGGCATGATTTTGTTCAGAATTTGATTAGTGGTTCTTATGTTAATTCTGTGATTCAAAAATTCCTGGCTAGGACATGTGATATGCTTAGCAGAGGTACATGTATGGGCACAGCCTGCCAGAACAGAAATAAGAATATCTAGTCTTTGTGGCTTCTGTTGCAGGATAGACACCCTGCCAACAATACAAAATTGGGTCTCCCTCAAGCACAGAGAGTTTTGTGGTGTCCCCAAAAGTTAAATGGGAAGCCACTGGCACATGTTTATATAGATCTACAGCCTTATGTTACAGGTAAGGTCTGTAGCCATACAGCTATAATAGCTAAGCTGGAATTGGAAGGCCATACCTTGCTAAAGCACTGTCTCCATGGGGATTATCTGCTTAAGGATAAAGACATGAAAAATTAGAGAAAAAGTTCAAGAGTAGGAGCCAGATTTCTTTACATCCATTGTTTTTGCCACCTCAAATTTTAGCAGGTTTTTCACTAGCACAATTTGACATTGAAGAAAAGAGGAAGAAGAATGAGGAAGGCAAATGTAATACCAGCTAAAGAGAGACACATGTTTGAAACATCAATGTTAACAGCCATTGAAAGACCTGTAATTCTCTTGACAGAATGCAGAGGACATCTTTTGGTTTACTGTGTATAAGCCAGTTTAGCTAACAAAGTACACCACCTTTGTTCACATTCATACCTTGCCTTGTGAATAAAGAGGTGGCATGATTTTTTGGTACCAGGGCTTGAACTCAGGACCCTGCACTTGTCAGGCAGGCATTTATGCCATAGAGCTATCTCCTGGACTTGGCATGATTTTTTTTTTGTTTGTTTCTTTTTCATTTCTACACCATCATTATGACTTGTTCTCTAACGTAGAAGATTTGAGCTCATCTCTGTCTAGATTCAAATGTAGGATAGTAAAGGGCCATTGAGATAGCTCAGCAGATTGTTGCTTAGGGGGCAGGGGAGATGGCTGAGTGGAATAAGCACTTCCCTGGCAAGCGCAAGGGCCTGAGTTCAATCCCCGGTTCTGCAAAAAAAAAAAGTGTTTGCTTAGGCAAGTGCAGGGACTGGGATTCCATCCTCAGCACCGCGTGCTGTGCTGGCCCTGCCCTTGAGTGCACTGAGTCAGTCACTGAGACCCAGTATGGTGGCACATGTCTGTAATTGCAGCACTGGGGAGGTTGAAAATAGGAGATCACTATGAGTCCAAGCTGCATAGTGACACCCTGTACCAAATATTAAATAAATAAATGAATAAATAAAAGTGGGACAGTAGTTGAAACTATTTCATGGGATACTTTGAAAGGTAGAAGACACATTGTAACATTTGGGTGATAGTTGAGGATAGTTATTTGTCTATTACAAACAAAACCCAATACAGTCCCACTTCTATAGTATTTAATTCAAAATGAAAACAAAGGTAGATATAGAGTTTTGTGTCTTTCTAAAAATGTATGACTTCTTTTAATCATCAGAAAATATCAGACCAAATTGAGGACGATTTTACAAAATAATCAATCAGTACTTTTTAAGAAAGCAAAGATCAAGAAGGACAAGAAAATACTGATGAGCTACTGCAGATTAGAAGACTGAGAGACTGGGTGAGGTGGCACATGCCTATAATTCCAGCACTCAGGATCCTATGGCAGGATGATTACCATGCATCTGAGACTAAAGTGGGCTACACGTAAGTTCAGAGGCAGCCTGAACTACATGGTGAGACCCTGTGTCAAGGGAAAAAAAAGACTGAGAAACAATAACAATATGCAGCATGGGATTCTATATTGGATTCTGAAATAGAAAAAGGGAAAGATAGGTTAAATTCTAATGAAGTTTGGCAAGTATTTAATAACATGTACCAATTCTTGATCAATAGTTTTATATGTTAACACCTTAGAAAGCAGATTCAAGGGTATATGGGAATGACATCTGTACTATATTTAAAACTTTTCTCAATTCAAAAATTAAAAAATTTGGGGCTGGAGAGATGGCTCAGTGGTCTAAAGCACCTACTTAGAACAAGCTTAGCAAAGCATCAGGGACCGCGGTTCAATCCCCCAGCAC